GGGCCCCGAGTCTTTCACAGGCCCCGAGCAGGGCGAAGTTTTCAGGCGTGAGCTCCAGGGGCCTCCCGCGGTTCCATGGGGGGGGCCCGCCCGCGGCTGGGATTACGAAGGCCGCCGTGGCGGCCTCTGGCGTCGCTCCTAGACGCGCCCGTCAGTCCTTCATTTCAGAGGCCATCTTGGATCTGATCCCTACCAGAAGATGTGTTCTACGAGTCCTCAAATGCTCGATGGCTGTCGGAGGCATTTGCGCCCGCTCTCGAGCACCTCGGAGGACGTTGGATGCTTGGGGATATCTTGGGATATGCGATGGCAGACACTGGATATAAGTGGCGTCAGCCATATATGGAACTGGCCGATGCCTTTGGCGAGTGGGCCCACTCCAAGATGGGTCGTGACAGGCTATGCCTTAGTGTTCACATATTCCTTATTGACACGGAACCGATTTTGCCTGCTGCCATTGAGAAGGACATATGTAATTTTTTAGACTCCATGGCAAGCGAGATTCAGCGTGCCAGAGATTTTGGACTGCCAGAGCGCGAGTGGGCAAAGGTTAAGCACTTTGCCTTCTTCGGAGGGCGCCCCCCATTGCATGCCGCGCGCGCGTCCTTTCTCCGCCGGCGAGGCGGGCCGCCCTCTCGCGGCCGAGGAGGAAATGACGGACAATTTACAAGAGCATTTGTCTAGCGTGGAAACTGTGAAGATCACTGGTGAGAAGGATGTGTAGCAGAGTTTTAGCTTGTTGCCCCGCTGCCCTTCGAGATTTTGTGCCTAGAGATCTGTTTTGTTCTGCTGCCAAGTGCGACGCCATTTCCTTGATGGGGAAACTTGGGGGGGGGGGAGACAGCTGGGCCAGATGGCTCATTGGTGAATCTCATGAAGATGGCGCACATTATCATGGCGGAAGCTACTTTGCCCGCGCTTACGAAAGTCAGTATGGCCACTAAATGCCCACTCCCGTTTAAAGACGGAAGGGTTGCTGCCTTCTACAAAGGGTAAGGGCAACGTGCTCCAGCCATGAACCGAAGGAGTACCCTCCTTACCAGCACCGTCTATAAATTGCACCACCGTCATCCGAGGGCACTGTCACTGGATTACTCCTGCAAAGCGAGCGCTGCTTTTCCAGCAGTGCGGTGGCTTACTACCTGGTAGGTCGTGCGACCTGGTGGCTCATTTTGTGATGTGTTTTTGGGATGCCGCAGCTTTCCGCAGGCTATCTCTTTGTTCGCTTTTTTTTTATTTGACTGCCGCGTTTTATTATACCATTCGGCAATTAGCTCACGACTTGCCAGGCGATGTTGAGGCTCTGGATGAGTCTCATAGCGTGGTGGAACTTCCTGCGATATCAGTCCAAGGGATTCGTGTTCAGCTGGCCCAGGGACCCTTGTAAAAAAACATGTGGACAGGCCTCGCCTGCTTGCGAAGTTAAGAGACGCGCAGAAATATTCCTCTTGGACGGTGAAGGGCGCGCAGGGGTACGTAGTTCCGGGAACTGGCACGAGAGCTGGAACGGTCATGGCGCCCGATTGCTTCAATGTTGTGGTCGCGAATGTTCAGTGCGAGACAGAGGCGGAAGCTGCCGCCCAAGGGCTCGAGTGGAACCCCGCGGGGGGCGTGGGGATTTTCGCGAGGAGATTCCAACGCGCAGTCCATTATTTCGGTTTCCCTTGTTGATGACCTCGCACCATCTGTCACAGCGCAGAGCGCCGGCGACTTGGTGCCTCGACTGGCCCTCTTGATTGACTTAGTGCATATGGTCAGTGCACGCCGCGGCCTCAAGTTGATTCCCGCGAAAACTAAGTCTTGCTTTCCTTCGAGGGGAAGGGTGCGCAGTCGGCCCATCGTGGCTTGTATGATCTGGAAGGGCCCTAAATTTTTTCGCCTCATTGGGGGTTGGGGTAAAAGTTGCGAGATCACAGAGTTGCCTTGGGGTAATCTTGACAGGCGCTCGAAGTGAAGGGGGCGAGCTCGCAGCCAGGAGCGTCAAAGCGCGGGCAGCTTGTAGACCGATCAAGGAGGCGCTCGCGCCACGAGAGGCACTTTCCTTGAGAGCCAAGGTCCTTTACTCAGAAGCATTTGGTGCAGCGAAGGGTTTTATGCGGGTGCGTTGTGGAGGCCCTTTACGATGGCCAATCGGAAGCGCATTCGGATTTTTCGTGAGTTTATTTACAGGTGTGCATTGGGCTTCCGTCTGCGAGCTCTAGTGAGTTTCAAGTTTCCCACGATGAAGTTGTGGGCCGCCTTCCATGGGGGGCCGTTGTGCACGTCGATGGGCTGAGGTATTTCGTAGCAAATTATGAAGGCCCCCCCCCCATTTCTGAGGGTCCTCCTGGATGCTGGCCTCTTGTCCAAGGGCGGTTGGGTTTCTGCTTTGTCTGGGGGTCTCACTTGGCTGGCCAAATTCGTTGAGCCCGACGCGATTCCAGGAAATGGCGCGCTAGGCGACTGGGTAACAGGAGTATTTTTGGATGTCCCCCGATTTTGATCCCTGCTGCTCACTGCCATCGCGAAATCCAGAACGTGGTGGTCCGACCGACACCGGCGCGTCCTATGGGGGGAGGATCGCCGAGCTCGTCTGAGGTACCCGCATGCAGGAGATTCCCATGGAGGTCGCACGTAAGTACATATGTTGCGGCGGCCAACTGTTTGTCTCACCAAGGCATTTGAAATCGCATCGAGGAAAATTCAATCCTCAGCGCAATGCACCTGCATATGTGGCTGTTGGCACGGATTGCGGTATTTGCAGATTGGACTTTAGGTCTAGCGGGCGGCTCTACAAACATTTGGGTCGGGCTAAGCCTTGTCCCTTTGGCTTGTTGGAAGCTGGGGTGAGTTTTCTCTGATGAGGATGTCCAGAAGGCCCGTGAATGTAGGTCAATTGAACAGCAGACTAACTGTGCCAAAGGCCTTGCTGACTATTTTGCACATCGCCCACCATGAAAGCTAACGGAACCCTCTAGAGGGCCGAGAGTGGTGCTGGCGGATTTTGTGGTGTCGGAGCCTCTGGCCCCTGTGGTTGACCCCCCCCCCGCCGCTGCCTGTTGACTTTGCCCCCCCCCCCCCCCCCCCTCAGCCTGCGCAGCCCTACCGTTGCATCCTGGATTTGTTTTCTGGACAGCGCCGTGAGGGAGATGTGCAATTCTGGAATGAGAAGTTGCTTGGGCAGCACCGCATTCCGCTTGTTGTGCCTTCGGGTGATATCGCCCACTCTTTCGCGTTTGGTGATCTAACTTTAAACCTCGACTCTTGCTTTTTGGATGGGGCTGCTGGCCAGCGGGTGGGTGGCTGTTGTCGTTTGGGGGCCCACGCGTGAAACGTGGGGTGCTGCTCGTCGCTGCCCAGCGCAGGATGGGCGCGCGGGCCCTAGACCAGTGCGATCGGTCGCCGAGCCGTGGGGTCTGGCATTTAGTGCCCCCCCAAGGAAAGGGCGCAGGTGGACACAGGGAATGGATTTCTGAGAACGATGATCGAATTTCTTGTCGCTGCGCGGAATTTCGGGCCCCCCGCTCTCCTGGGGCACCCTGCGGAGACCGAGCGTAGAGACAGCGTCCCGTCTATTTGGCAGCTCTCAGTTATGATTCGCTTGAGGGACCAGCCTGGGGTGGCCCTCCATAGAGTTGACGTGTGTGTTCGGGCTGTCCGCCAGGAAACCCGCGGGGCTCTTGGCTGTCCGCGTTCCGTCCATGACCCGAGTCCTAAGGGGGCTGCCTCGTGGAGGGAGGTGCGCGCGCCATGTCCGCGCTAGTGTTTTGGAACGGGGCGGGGGGGGGGGGGGGCTTTTATCGGGGGGGGGCGCGCTTCCAGGGGCAAGTTTTATCCTTCACCCTAGTGTCGGTTCCTGGCCGATTGTATTTTCGAGGAAGCCGCCCGTCAGTTCACGGAACCTGGAGCGCCGCCCCTCACCCTGCCCGATGATGTTGCCCCGTACTTTATTCTTCTGGACCCGTGCTGACTTCCAGTGTGGGAGGGATCATGCTCGTTCGGCACCTCACTTCACTCCCCACCCACGGATGGTGTGCGCGGCACGTTAACTCGCAGTGCCTCTAGGGAAGAAGGGTCCGTTGGCCGTTTTTTACCCCTCATGGGTGCGCGCAACACCACATCTCATGCTGTAGCTTGAGAGTTTTTTAATACTGTCGTGTGCGCGGCACGTTAATTCGCAGTAGCACAAGGAAGATGGCCTGTGGCCGTTCTCGTTGTTTCAGCGAAGCACTTGTGTGAAGGGACAGTTACAGCTAGTTCTGTTTGCGCCCCACCCCCTGCCTGTAGGCTTGTGTTCTTATTACCCAACGCTTTTGCTCCTAGGGGAGACGGCTGCCGACCAAGTACTACTTCTGCTTGCATGTGGTGGGTTCGCCCCGACGTGGCCCTCAAGGACCGGGCCTTCTAAATCACCCAATAGTGGTGGGTTCGGGCGTTGATCAGGGTGAGGGTGGGCTCCTGGAGTTGCACATGGAGGACGCGCAGCTGCCGCGAACGCTGCCTCTGTTTTTCTCTTTTTCCTATCGCTGCTCTCTACTCTAGTTGTGTGGGACTCAGACTCTGTCCCTAAGGCCACGAACGAACGAACAAGGAGGAGGAGGCGGAGGATCAGGATGAGGATGAGGATGAGGAAGAGGAAAATGAGGAGGAGGAGGAGGAGGAGGAGGAGGAGGAGGAGGAGGAGGAGGAGGAAAAGGAGGAAGATGATAAGGAGGAGGAGAAAAGGGGGGAGTAAGGAGGGGGAGGGATGGAAGGAATATGGGGGAGGGGGGGAGGCATGAGGAAGAGGCATGTTTGTGGTTTTCGGGCCATAGCTCGGGCCTCTGGCGGCCGTTCGGGACGATCTGGGCATTCCCGAAACGCTCTGGGCGAGGCGCAGCTGCGGGGGGGTATCCCGAGGATGGAAAGCCGCAGAGAACGCCCGACCCCCCCGAACCTCGAATTTTGGACCTGTCGTCGAGGCAGAGGAGGCAGGAGGGGGCGGGATCCGCGGACGGGGGGGGGCCCGCGGTGGGCGCCAGGCGGCCCCTCGGGCTGCGGCGCCCTGGGGGCGGTGGCGCGGCTGGCCCCCGTGCACGAGGCCCGCGAGTTGCACGCGCCTCCGAGGCGCCGCGCGGGCGCTTCGCCGGCCACGGGGGGACGTGGAGGGGGAAGGGAATGAGGGAGGACGGAGGAGGGAGGAGGGGGGAGGGAGGACGGAATGAGGGAAGGAGGGAGTGAGGGAGAGGGGGGGGATGGCGGGAGGGAGGGAGGGAAGGAGGAGGCGGAGGCGGAGGCGGAGACGGAAGCGGAGGCGGAAGCGGAGGCGGAGGCGGAAGCGGAGGCGGAGGCGGAGGAGGAGGAGGAGGAGGCGGAGGAGGAAGATGAGGAGGAGGAGGATGATGAGGAGGAGGAGGATGAGGAGGAGGAGGAGGAGGAAATATGGTAAGGGCGCTAGCGGGATCGCAAATCCTCCAGACTGAGAGCATAATGATGACTCCTGTGTGGGTTAATATGGACGCAGGACCCTCACACCTCATGAGGGCCTATCTGCCTGGAGAAGCAAGCGGCTGCCGGCTGCTGAGGCGTCAGCGGAGGGACGGGGCCGCAGGCCCACTCGTTCGACGTGCACTTTACTTCGGTGGCCTGGCGGCCGCCTGGCGGGCTTGGTCCTCCCCGAAGGGCCCTCCAGCGGCACTCCAGTTGTCGCGCCCCGTCTTCCCCTCGGAACAAAACATCTCGTCCTCTGACCCACTCCGCCGTGACCGTGGCAGGGGTAACTGGCATATTCGGTTGAAGAGTCTTCCTCCCTGGATCTCTCCTCCTCCTTTTCCCTTCCCTCCTCTCTCCTCCTCGTCCTCCTCGTCGTCGTCCTCCTCCTCCTCCTCCTCTCCTCCGCCTTTTTCTCCTCCTCCTCCTCCACCAGGCAGGGCGTTGTATGCATGCTGCCACAAGGGTGAAGAAGATGGTGAATGGAGCACCCGAACTCTGGAGTAGCCCCATGACAGACAACGTTATCGACCACCAACTCCACGATCAGCAGCAGCCAGGAGGGCCTGGCGATGTGGTGATGGATGAAGCATTTCATGAAGACCTCCCAAGATCAGCACACCCAGCTCGCAAGCGACGGTCAGCATGGTGGTCCTCATTCTCGGGTTCGGGTGGCAATTGAAAGTCGCCCATCCACTCTTGGCCAGCACCCGCGGGGCTGACGTCCAAAACATACCAGGCAGTCCATGACGCTCGCCAATGGCACGTCGGAAAACGTTCGTACTTCGGGCACTCTGCTCACAAATGACGAAATGAGGGATTGATAGCCTGGCAGTGTTTGCAAGGTCATCCCGTTCTTCTGCGTGTCTCTGAAGCTACGGCCCCAGAACGAAAGATGTTCAAGGATGCCCTTTGCCTCCGACAACTGCTTCACACAATTCTTGAAAGATGGGCGAGACTCAGCATCAATGTCCACATCGAGGATCTCTGGTGCGTCTGCCCGCTTATCACTACTATCGCCAAGCACCGAACTCGAGCAACACACCTGAACACGTGCTCGATGCGCTTGTTGTACCTCGGCTCGTTGGGCCTGTGCGTCCAGAACTGCCGTCCCGTCGCTTCCACAAGCTTCAGTCCTCGGTGATCGTCGTGCTCATCCACACTCAGGAGGCATCCACGACCATCCGCATATCTGAGAAACATGATGCCGAGAACGGCCACATGTTGTTGCACATGTTTCTCCAATAAGGTAGACCAGCACAGTCGGCCATCCACAGTCACAGTGAAGGCATGTAGTGCACCCGTCATCTGCGGGTGGAGGTTGATGTGCTGGGCCCGCCATCTTCCGTAGCACCACCACACATTCTCGGTCCTGATACCGCTCGAAAAAGAGTCCTGATGGTCAGCTCTGGAGGCGGAGCCAGCAGGGGGACATCCCCACAGCCAGAGGGGGCGGGTGTACGTACTAGCCAACCTCAGACGCACTTCTGCAGTACCATGACATGAAGCCGGGGTGAGTGAGGATGGCGGCGTTCAGCTTGTCCCAACCAGCACGGGGCCAGATCGGGTGTGTGTGTGGCCAACGAGCATGGCCATGACCCCGAGTTGTTCTATCAGCAATGGCGGGGCAACAGAGCGCGTCCACCGTTGCCTCTGAGACTGGTTCTCCTCGAACCTCACCGCCGCGTCGAAGGGCTGCGTGTAGGCCAAGTCGGCGTCGAGGGCTTCAACCGTGGCTGACGTGATGGATTGATCGTCCATGTAGCACGTTCCTTGGTGCGGCTGCCGCGGTGCCAATGACGAACTCATCGCACTCGGGGCGACCGAATAACCCCGTGGTAGTCCGCGCGTGAGCCATACCATATAGGCGGCGCCAGCGCCTGGGCCACGCAGCAATGCCTTGGCCCCGGCCAAACAGCCAGGGCCGTGAAGGTCACCACCGACGGAATTCCTTTGCAAATACAGCTTAGGGCACCAACATCGAAGTCGATGTTGTCGTAGGCTTTGCTCAAGTCAAGTTCTGCCCCAGCCTCCGCGGACTCGCAGTCGTGGAGCCAGGGCGAGCTAGCATGGACATCCGAGGTCTTGAGTCGGCCTGCGTACTGATTGTCAGGTGGCTGCGGCATCCCCTTGGCCAGCGCCGACAACCGCCGTCGCGCCGAGATCGAGCCCGCGCTGATGGGTCGAAACTCAGTCTGTTTCTCGGGGGCCCCCAAGGAAAGATGCACCCCAGTTCAGCGTTGGACAGCATCCCCTGGCGACCAAACACAAGTCCGTGAAGTAAGATACCACAGCTCGTAAAGGTCCAAGATAACCCCAGGAAACAAACGGCGTAATCAGAGTGAGGGGGCCCGAACGGTCATTCTTTGTCCTTGCGCGCGCGTAGCCGGATGGAGGGCACGGCCTCTGGGGGCTACACTTAGGGGCTACACTTGGGGGCTACACTTGGGGGCTACACATGGGGGCTACACGTGGGGGCTACATATGGAGGCTACACTTGGGAGCTACACTTGGGGGCTGCACTTGGGGGCTACACGTGGGGGCTACACTTGGGGGCTACACATGGGGGTTCTGGGGGGGACGGGGACAGGGACAACTCATCTGTAGTCATCTCTGCCCAAGCGGCTTCTTCTTGCACCATGGCACCCAAAGCGAAGGCTAAGGCGAAGGCTAAACCGAAAACTGACTTGATCCATCGCGTGCAGAATCTCCCCCGGGGTTCCGGCGGCCTCGCTGGACACAGTGCTGGAAAACGGGCCAGCATCTTAGCCCGCCCTGGATCATTTCATGCCTGTCTTTGTTGCGGTGCGCCTGTACGAATCTCAGATGACTACAAGGCAACGTCGTCCAGTAGGTGCCCGATGCGGGTCCACGCCCCTGGCGGCAATTGCCGGTATGATTGCGATTTCAAGACGAAGCCGCATTGCTGGCGACGACGTCCAGTGGTGCCTGCAGAAGGCGCTGCTGCCTGGGAAAAAGGCGGTGCAGATCCGGGCTGGCGAGGCCAGCGAAGCAGGGCTCTGGGGGCGCGTGCGCATCGAGGCAGCTTTGCGCGTCCCGCTTGCTGGAGACGCGGCGCAGGCTTACGTGGCGCATGTGCAAGCAGGCCCGTGATTCTTGCCGGGTCCCTAGAACAATGCCACCGACACCTGCTGCTCGCCCTTCTTCCCCGCTTTGCGCTCTCTTCCTCCGCCCTCGCCCTGCTGCTCCTTCTGCTTCCTCTGATAGGGCGCGCTTGCGCGCAAGGCTTTGCCCGCCGCCTCCGCCGCCCCCTCGCTCTTATCCGCGACTGCGGGGTGCTGCGTATTGTGAGCTCGCCTGATGTCCGTCCATCGTGCCGAGGAGCTCCATGGCCATGCCCAATGTTGTAATAAAAGGATTCAAAGGAAGGAATCCAGCCATCACTCTTGTCGCTCTGTGGGAAGTCCTCGTTGGCCGCCCGCTCCTGCCAGCGCGTATAGTGACCGGCAGCGTCGTGGGATCCAGGATTTGGGGCCCATTGCGTTTCCCAGCGTCGTCTCATCTCACCAACGTTTGAAGGTGCCGTTGGCGAAGCAGCGTGAAACATGGGCGTGGCTACTCGGTGCGCGTCCGAAGACCGCGTGGCGAAACGTTTCCTCCGCTCCCGAGTGTGCGAGGCCTATATCTTGGCCTGCTCCTTGGAGATGGCCCCGGGCAGCACTGTGGGCGTCTCGCTGTAGGTCGGGGCACCGCGCAGCGGGATCTCCAGAACCCCTCCATCGCAGCGCGGGCCACCCGCTCGCGCGGGCTCCCGTCGAGAGACGATTGAGGGTTCCGGGCGTCCTTACCTTTGAGCTTCTCGGACACCTGACGATGTAGTCTGAGTAGCCGTCGTAGCGCCATGGTCTCTGCCAGCCTGGCAGGCGACCCGTGCGAAGTGGGTCTGGTCGAGGCCTCGGAACCTTTGGGTCCCTCCGCAGCCCGAGATATAGTAACGTAATCATCCTCCAGCGCCAGCTGCAGCGGTCTCCGCCCTCTCATGCCAGTGCTTCCAGACTTTCACCGGCCGTCGTCGGCCATGTCGTGCAGCGTCGGGTCGATCCGACTCGGCATTCCCTGTTCATGCTTGCCCTTCAGTTCCTCCAGTAGATCATCCGACTCAGGGAGGTGGCCTAAGGCATGCAACGCGGTATGGCGTTATCGAAGCTGTGGGCGATGGTGCGTCGGCTCCTGCAACTCATACTTGACAAGTCCCTGGAAAGGGACTCCAGGTAACATGAACATGCTGAGACACTTCGGCAATGCAGGCACAGGGGGCCCGTAGACCTCGTCGGCGAAATACCATCCGCAGTTGGCGCTGTCGTTGCGGGCGTTTGGGGCCATCCGGGTCCGAATATAATTTTGCGCAGCAGGTCGCCTATTCATATCTCCAACCAGGTGCGTCGGCACTTCCTGCGTTGCAGTATATTGTACATGGCCCTTAAGCGCGCCCGCCAGGTAACATCTGACTCCGCTGGGCCGCGCGCTGAAATATGGGTAGCTCGCCCCGTGGTGACGCCGACCATGCGATGGCCGCGTGGCTCGTCGCGTATCACTGCCACTTGCCCACGCGCGAGTGCCTCCAAGCGATGGCGCGGCAACCCTGTCGGGCGGCGCGTCTGCGCGATGGAGGTGGCGGTGGCGAAAGCGCTGCAGACCAGCCACACTTTTAAACGGTAGTCAATGCCCAACCAGAACGTTCGTCTCGTTGGCGAATCTCCTGCTGCGCTAAATCGCGCGAGCCAGCCGCGCCTCGGACGCATTCTACCCGGCGGGCCTCGGGCAAAGACGTCGCGTTGATCGTGGCGAGCTCCGCCCCGCCAGCAGATTCCCCAACGTCGTCTTCCCCTCCGAGCAAGTGACCGTTTGGGTTCCGGTAATCTCGCGAGGCAGAGTGTCTGATGGTTTTGCCATTTTGTTTCGAAATGGCGAAAGACCGCAATCGGGGGGGAACTGGCCCCGCGAGCAGCCCAGACAATCACAGGGGCCGCAAATTGAACGGCGAGGATTCCCATATTGCCCGGGTGAAGGTAATGCCAGATTGGGCCGCGGCAATGCGTGAGACAAGTCTGCGGCGTGCCACGAGCGCGGCGGCGGCGGGCGCCGCCGCGCTCCGCCGGGCCCGTCGCGGGCATCGCCTCGGAACGCGGCGTGGCGTGACCGACCGGGGCGCCGACTTCCATTCGGCGACGGCGGCGGAGTTCGGGGCCTGGTGTTGGGTGCGCGGTTCCCGCGGTGCCCGCCCGCGTCTTCGTGGAGGGGGGCTTCGAGGGCTCCGAGGAGGAGGGGTTGCAGCCCGGCCAGTTTCCCGCCGCGGGGTCCCGCCCCGCCGCGGCGGAGGGCTGTGGGGGCGTGTCGGTCGAGGGGCGGCCCCGCGCGTGGCCGTTCGACCCTCTCGAGCATCTGGCGGAGGGCGGCTTCGGCCCCGCTGCTGGGCTCGGATGGGGCGTCGCCCCCATCGCGCGTTGACGGCGGGCCCCGGTGGGGTGGGGGTCCGCTGAAGGTTGGGCAGGCGCCGAGGGTCGCGACCTCGTGGTCGCCGGGCGCCCCCAGGAGCAAATAATTCAAATGAGTTTAGGTGTCGGGTCTTTCCGTGGGCCGCCCAGACGCGTTGGCGCGCTCGGCGCCGACGCGCGCGCGATTGTCGAGCTCGCGTGACTTGCGTGTCGGCGCGCTGTCACGGGCGCGGCGGCCAGGTTGATCGCAGAGGGAAATCATGGCGCATTTTTGTTTGCGGCGGCGCTCCCCGCATCTGAAATTCAAGTTGCCCCTGTCTGGAATTCAGATTGCCCCATTCTGAAATTCAGATTGCCCCTGTTGTCTGAAATTCAGATTGCCCCAGTCTGAAATTCAGATTGCCCCCCCTGGGGGCTCGGGCGAGGCGTCTGCTTGAGATCTCTGCGCCTAGATTGTTCAGACTGGCCCGGTCTGAAATTCAGATTGCCCCGGCCTGAATTTCAAATTGCCTTGCTCTGAATTTCGAATTCGGGGGATCTGCGTGGAAGAATGCTGTGTTTTGGTTCCGCCGCCCACAGGGCGAACGTGATCGACGTTTGCTCTCCTGCGTGGTTGCGACATGGGACATGAGAGTGCTCTTGCACTTCTGTTAGGGTAGATGGCGCTCGAAGCCCCGATGCTCCCTTGGACGCGGCGCGCCTTGCGGATGCGAAAAGAGTGAAACGTATATTTTTCATGGTTGGGGGTGTCTGGTGATGACCACGTAGTCAGCGGAGGCCCCCGGCCAGGCCTTGTTTCGCCAGTTGCTGGGGCTTCGGCGCGGCACCATCCAGTGGGGCTTGGGAGGGTTCGAGTGCGTTGAAGGGCGCGCTTGGTCTTCGCGACCGTGCCGCCTGGTGAGGAGGACTTGGATGGCCAACTCTGTGATGGCGGGTGCTTCGAGCTGCCCGAACTGTTCGCCTCGCGCGCGGTTGTCTCCTGCCAGCGGCGGTTCTGCTGGCAGTGCCTGGGCGACCGCGGTGAGGCGGCCGCGGCGTGAATGCTTGGGGGGGTGCGGGCGGCGCGCAGCGGGCCCCCTGGCGCTCGCGGCGGCGGCGGGTTCGGGGTTGCCCAAGAACGCCCCCCCGCCGTTGGGGGGCGCCTCGGCCCACGCTGGCGCGCCGAGGGGGCGGTGGTCGGTAGTCCAGGATGCCTGGGGGCGTCCAGGTCGACTAAACGGCTTCGCTTGTCGTGGTGATTATTCTGGGGGTGGATTTTCTCCCCGCTACTCCTCTTGCAGCGAGTCGCTGGCGATTTCCGAGCGATATCCCCCCCGTCGAGGGCCCGTCGCCACTCTGGCTCAAGTCGCCATATCGGAGCGCTTCCCGTCTGGAGGGGGCGAGCGCTGGCGCGCGGGCCGGCGGCCCGGGGTCAGGGCGGGCGCCGTCTGGGCGACCGCTTGATCTGTGCAGAGGCGGTCTTCGCGCCGGCCGTGGGCCGGCCGATGCGCTCTCGTGCAGCGAGCGCCCGGGCCCCGGCGGCGCCGCCCGTCATGGGGGCCGGGGAGGCGCCCATGTGAGCGGAGAGCTGGCTCGTGTTGGCTGGCGGCGCGAAGGCGTTTCGCGGTGCGCCCGCGGCTGTAGCCCAAGTCGTCTTGAAATGCGCAGAAACATGGTGAGGGCCCACTCCGCAGGGTTGGTTGACGTCGCATCGTCGAGCGGTGCTGCAGCTTCCCCCGAGCACGGGCGCAGCAGTATTGGCAGGCACTCTGGCACCTTCCTGGCGGCGCAGTGCCGAGGAAGAAAGCGAGACTACAGGACAGTGGCGTCGCCGACCCGCGCCGATGTTGGTAGAGACCATCGCTGCCTTACTCGACGGGCTGGTGCATCAGGAGTGAGGCGTTTTTTTTTGTTGTTGTTGTTCTCTCCCCTTTTTTCCCGGGGGCCACGACGGCAAAACCAGGGCGGGCGGTGTGGGTGCGGGGCGATCCGCGCATCAGCCGCGGCCTTTGTAGGTCCAGGCCGCGCCCGCTCGGATTTGGTCTTTATTAATTCAGCCAGATTTCGCCAACACTTCCCCTGGTGGGATGGCGAGGTCGCCGGCGCCGCCCGCCGTTCTCGCGGGGGGCGCCCTTGCCAGTGCGGGGATGGACGCGCCGCCCGACTGTGTCGCGCTGCCGCCATGGCCGGGCGGGGTCGCCACCCCAGGGGCGGCGCCGCCAGCGCAACAGCCTCTGGCGTCGGCGGTGAGCTTCACATGCAGAGGGTCGCGCGCCTGGCAGGCGGAGGCGATGTCTCGGTTTCTTCAATGCGCGGCCTCCAGAAGTCCCAGCCCTTTCCTCCGGGTCGGCTGTTCTTCCGTAGCCGTTTCTGACGGTCCCAGGGCCAGCGAGGGCCCCCGGAGGCCGAAAACGGCTACAATTTTCCCGTCGTGTTTTTCCATGAACTACGCGAGCATGTCTGGGGAGGGCGCCGCCTTGGCGGACGTGTTTTCCGTCATCCAGGCCGACCTCAGGGCCGTTAGTGCGACGGCTCCAGGACCGTGTCGACCAGCCGCTCACGGCGTCGGCGCGCGGCCGCTCGGAGCGTCAGCTTGGTGAGCTGGGGCGCCTCGTGGTGTCTGGCACCTTGCGGTTGGGCGCTTTCGCCACAGCGCCCGCGGGCTCCAGCTTGGCGGGCAGAGCGGATGCCGCTTTGGCGGATTTGTTCTTCGTCACCCAGGCCGATCCCAGGGCTGCCGTTGCGGCGGATCCAGGACCGTGTCGACCTGCCACTCACGGCGGCCGCTCGGTGCGTCGAGTCGGTGAGTAGGTTTCTGCGGGGGCTCCGGTCCCCCGAGTCTGGGCGCCATCTCGCCGCATCGCTCCGCCATTTCTCGCTGCGCAAAAATGGTGATGGAAGGTTTTTTGCCACTTTCGGTCTCCGAGGCCCTTCGCCAGGCCCTGGCGCCGTCAAAGCGCCAGTCCCGAGGAAGCGGTCCAGACCTCCGGCGGTCCACGTTGCGAGGAAAAGCGCGAAGCCACAGTTCTGTGAACGCCCGCGGGCGGACGCCAACAGGGCCAGCCGAGGTAATTACCCGCGCGAGGGAGGAGCCAGCGGCGGCGGCGGTAGGCCGCGGCTCGGCGCTCAGCGCCACATGTTTTCCAGGCAGACCGGCGGGAGGTCCGCATGCTTGACAATGACAAGCTGAAACGTGTCCACGTCGCCTTCCAGTCCGCCAGTTGTAGCCCCCCAGCCGAGTACGAAGACACGTCCGCTTCGGCCTTCCCCCTGGCTCCCTATGCAGACTTCGGTGTTTGCGGGCCCTATGGGCGGTGCTCCGCCATTCCTCAGCTTCCGCGCCCAGGTGTTCGTCCTGACCTCGGGGTCCGCCAGATTTTGCGGCATATCGCCGCGGCTGGCGGGTCTTCGGCGCGGATGCTATGGAACTCGGCCTCGGCGTGGCCAGTTGCTCGGCGCCTGCGAGGGAGGGCGTCAAGTGGGGGCTCATCCGCGTTGTACTGGACCGCGTGCGGCCAGAGCGCCGGGATCCCGTCTGGGAAGGATGGCAGTTGGCAAGCACACGCTGGCGCTAACTCGCGTTCAAAGGATCTCCTTGGTGTGCGCGCGGACGGAGGTGATTTCACAGGCGTCCGCGCCCCCGCCACCGCAGTTTCTGCTCCGCAGCGTGGGCCCCAGCTTCTGCATCCCGAGGCGCTCCTTGACGACCCCCGGGGCCACCCCCGGGGCCGGGCGAGGGCCCTGGGAGGCTGCAGCGGGCCCAACGCCTCGGCTCCCGGGGACCTGGGACAGCACAGGCCCCTGCGCTTCGATCGAGGCTGTGCCCCGCGGGCCCCTCGCCACCCGCGCCCCCCCGCCGGCCCCGGCAGGCCGGCCAGCCCAGCGGACCTGCCAGCGCACTCGCCGCTGAAGGTGTCCGTGAAGAACTCCTTCCTGCACGTGGGCGCGGACGAGGAGGACACCCCTGGGGGGGGGGCCAGCCAGACCTCCAACGTCTTAGGGGGCCACATGCGAACCCTACCCCTACCCCCCCACCATTTCTGAGGGGGAGGGTTCGCATGTGGCCCCCCACTTGAGAAGCTCGAGGCGAAGGTTTGTCGCCGTTTTCGGACTCCAGGGGCCCTCGCCGGGCCCTGGGGCCCCGGGGCCGTGGAGAAGCGACTCGGGAGGAGAGCCGGCCCCGGGGAGAGGGTCGGAATTCTGGGGACCGCGTGTGGAACTCGGGGGCCCCCAAACGGTGTGGTGACCACACCGTGCGGTGAGTCGGGGGGGATTCGGGGTCACCGCACGGTTTTGGGACTCGAGCCCCTCTCCGAGGATGTCTCGGGCGACAGGGGCCTCCAGGGTCCCAAGACCGTGCGGTGACGGACCGTGCGGTGAGGTCTCTTGCGGTTCCGAGGTCACCGCGCGGTCTGTCACCGCACCGTTTTGGGCCTCCCAAGGAACCGCTCAAGACATCGCACGTCTGGGAAGATGCCGATACCGCTGTCCTTCCCTCGTCGCCGCAGGCGGATTCGCCCCGAAGTCCTGGCCAGAGCGCGCCCCTGGAGAGGTCCAGGTGCCTCTCTCCTGTCCCCCAGATGGGGCCCCGAGGGATGGGCTCCGAGGGCGCGAACCTCGAGCATTGAAGTTCCAACTCGTGAGCCACTTCCTATCCTTCGAGGGCCCCACCCCACGGGGCCTCATCTTTGAGGCGCCGAGGGGGAGAGGGGTGAGAGATGGACTGGCGCCCGGCGCCTCGCAGCCGGAGGGGGAGGGGGAGAGCGACAAGACGACAAAGGCGCGGAGGAATCCGGCAGGCCCAGGACCGACGAAGCGCAAGCACGGATTGAGGCGGCGTGGACTCGCGACGGGCCCTGTTTCCGTACATCTGCGCGGCCCGCGACCGCCAGCGCTGCTGACTTATCAGTTTCCGTACATAATCGGCGCGCTCCGTCGCTGAATGAGGAGGCACTGGTCTCATGTTTCGCCAGAGACACGGATCCCTAATCCATCTTAGCGTGTGCCCGAGAGGGAGGAAGATCGCTCCAGCTCGTTGCGTGGCGTTCTCGCAGCGTTCCCAGAGCGCTCTGGTACGGCCGCGGCGCTCGAAACATCCTCCAGATCCGCCGGCTCTCAGAGATTCCTGATGCTTCTCGTCCAGATGTTGCTTTCGTAGTGCCGTCGTCTGGAGAGGAGCTGTGGAGGGAGGATGAGGGGCACTTCGCACTCTTCTGCGGGCCTCCACGAGGCCAGTGGCCCTGGGGACGGGCAACGCTTCTTCACTGCCCACGGGCAAGACGGAAGGAAGGAAAAGCTACCCCGACCATTAGACTTGACGTTTGCTACAGGCTTCCCCAAAGCCCTTCGAATAATGACGGCTGTTGCAGCCATCTATAGGCCGCAATCGGAAGCAAGACGGCCCCGACACGTCCCCATTTGAAGAGGCCCCCAAGAGGTCCCCAGGGCGTCTTCGTGATGCCCCCAGTCAGCCCTCGAGAGGAGTTCGAGAGCGCGCAGGTGCGCTTCGCCTGGATTTCGCTTCGCCCAGGTTCGCTTTGTTGCCCAGAGCTTGCTTCGCTTGTGGCCCGCTTCGCCAGCCTCGCTTCGTCGCGGGTCCGCTTCGCCTTGGGGTTCGCTTCGCCTGGGGTGCGTTTCGCCTAGTATTTGCATCTGGCTGGTTCGCTTCGCCGGGGGTCCGCTTCGCCCGTGCGTTGCTCCGCCAAGGCTTGCTTTGCCCAGCTCGCTTCGCCCGGGATCGTTCAGCAGGGGAAAAAGCACAGACACAACTAATCGCCGATCCCCAGGAAGATCTGGGGAACTATGGGAAGTGGGGGAGAAGACGAGAATCCAGAACATAGGAGAAGACACGGGGGATCCTGGGATTTGCGTGTCCCTGGGCCCCCTCTTCATCTCGCTCCCTTCGGGCCTGCCCGCTCGCCTGCCTACAGGTTGACGTCCTCGGAGAACGACCCGAGTCCCAGCACCGTGCGGTGACACGAAATCCCCACTTACTCGCCACACGATGTGGTCACCGCACGGTTTGGGGGCCCCTGAGGGTGCCCGCAGCGGGGTGTGACGTGCAGAGTGCGATGCGCACCCCGTCGAGCGTGCTGCGCAGGGGGGGCCCGCTGCGGGAGGGGGCCTGCACTGCCGGGCGGGGCGCCCGCCCTCGCGGGTGGCTCTGCTCGGGGGCCGATTTGTGGCCTCCGCCCCAGCGCACGGACCCTGTGCTGGGCTAGCTTGCTTGTCGGGGTGGGGTGCAACGTCATGTCCGCAGGCAGGGCGCGAGCCAAGCTGCACGGCAGACCAGCACGGCAGACCAGCACGGCAGACCAGCATTGCACGCAGTTCGGCAGATTAGCGAGACGTTCCATCAGGTTTCGTAGACATAGCGACGCTTCCCGTTCTTGCCCGGTCATGTTACCCTTCATGACGACTTCGCCTGAGACATCTCCACAGCATGAGATCTTCGCGACACGGCAGACCAGCACGGCAGATTAGCACGGCAGACCATCACGGCACAGCTGTAGGCTCACAGCGTGCCGCAGTGCTGGGCGGCTGCCTTGCGGCGCAACCCTGGGCCTGAGGCTTCGATGTGTGGAGCTGCGGTGGCGGCGCGACCTGGACCCAGTGGTGCTCGCGGCGAGCTACACGGTGCAGATGCTGGCGGCGCTGCTCCAGTCGGGGAGCTGCCCTTGCGCATGCTGAAGCGTGGGCTGGAGGCGGCGGCAGCACGACACGCCGAGGCTGTGTCGCCGTGGGTGCACTGCGCGTCCCCTGTGGATGCAGCGGTGCTCACCATGGCCAGGATCGGCTGGCATTTCGAGTCGGAGCGATGCCTCGTCACGGACCTCGGGGACAAGCTGGACCTGACCGCTCTTGGGCCCGCGCGACCTGGGGATCGAGGCTGGACTCGGGGCGCGGCGCGCCTCCGACCGCCATGAGATGCGGAAACTCTCCCGCAGCAGGGTGTCTCAGGGGCCGTTGTTTTGGGATGCCATCGCGCCGCTGCTTGGGCCTGGAGGGGACCTGGGCGAGCGAGAGCAGCACGCGCTGATCGCCTACATCTCCAACGCGCACTGGACGCATGCCAGGCTGTACGACGCCAAGGAGCGCGGCCACGCCAGGTGCCGCTGCTGCGGGGAGACGCTTGGCACTCTTGGCACAGGCTCTTCGAGCGCCCCATGCTGGCGGCCCAACGGAGGGACAGCGTGTCTCAACGTCTCCGCTAGGTGTCCCGAACGGGTTCGTCCCCAGGGCGAGGCGGCTGGGGAGAACTTCGTTCGCTCCCGGCTGCCAGCACCGCCCCTTCCGCAGGGCCGCCGCACAGATGCCATGAGTGTGTGGTGGATCCGCAGGCCGCCCGACGACAGGTTGAATGGGAAGCTGTACTTGGACGGTTCGGCCCTCGAGCTGCACTTCGGCGCCCTTCGCCGAGCGGGCTGGGCCATCGCGCAGTGCGACGACGACGGCAATCTCGTCGCGGGCGTCTACGGCACGGTGAGGCGGGACCTCTGCCCGCAGCAGACGGCCAAGGACGGCGAGGACTTTGCGGTGTGGATTCTGGCCAACTATGCGGGGCCAACGGTGGAGGAGGTCCACATCGACTGCAGCTCCACCGTCTCCTGTTCCCTGCGGGGCCGTGCCTACGCCACGGCGCCCAGCAGGGCCAATTCCCACCTGTGGAGCAGATCCACGCGGCCTTCGAGCCTGGCTCGTTTGCAGTGCGCAGTGTGCCCGCGCACTGCAGCCGCCAGGCCGTGCTGGATGGGCACCTCACGGAGGCCCAGCGGCGCGAGAACGACCACGCCGAACGCCTCGCCAAGATGGGAACCAGGCTGCATGCAGTGGACAGCCGGGCCGTCGGCGAGCACCATGCCCTGGCTGAGGTGGTCGGCGAGCTGGCGCGGTGGATCGGCCAGGCCGCGGTCATCTGGCAGGGCATCAGCGAGAAGGACAGCGAGGGCCTCCCTGATGCTGGCGAGAGGCGGCAGGTGCGTTTCGAGGTGCCGCCAGACTCGCAGGCCCCGCCCGCAGAGGAGGGCCCAGAGCCCAAGAGGCCGAGCCTGGCGAGTGCCCGCTCTGCCAGCAGCGCCGCGGCCCTCTCTGCTGGTGCAGCGGTCTTCAGCATCCCCGGGCATGCCCTCAGCTGCGCCAGCTGTGGCGACGGCGAGCAGGCCCAGGAGCTGGTGGCGTGCGTCAAGTGCGGCGCCTACATGGTGCTGGGAGGCCGCTCGGGGGTCAAGCCGCGGCCGAAGGCGCCCTGCCAGGCCGACAAGACGGACGAGAGTGGCGCGACCAGCGCAGCCTGTGGGAGCGCGGGCCCCACCCAGGTGGAAGGCCGCGGTCGGCGAAGCAGCGCCAGAAGGACCAGGCCATCCCCAGCCTCCGCGGGCAAGGGCTTGTCGTCCGTGCGGCCAGTCTCCCCCCTGGGAGGGAGGGTTACAGGGGCGTCGCGCCGCCCCGGCGCGCCAGCGACCTCGCCGCGGGCCTGCAAGGCTGAACGCAGCCATGCGGCCAGAAGTGGGCAATGTGGGAGCATGGATCGATCTGGCGATCGAGAAGCAGCGGATTTTGCAAGGTGGAACGACCCACGCGGTGACAGAAAGTAACGCCAGGGTCGTCATGTCACGAACCTGCCGTGAGCATCGCGGCCCTCCCGGCCGTGGCCGGTCCGACGTCCTGAGTTGCTCCCCGGGTCTGGAACTTCCCCCCGGGACCGACTCTTCCTCCTGAGTCGTTCTCTGGCAGTCCCGGCACCCTGGCAAGGGTCCCTTGCTTCGAGGCCGTCAGCAGCGAAGAGTTGTGGCCTGTGGGTGCACCGAGACGTCGGAGCTCAGAGCCCGCGCGCGTCTCTCGCGCGCGCAGGCCGGCGCCGCCCCTGGCGTGGAGGAGCTGCCCGCGCGGCGGCCCGAGGCCGAGGCCCCCCGCCCCCCTAGGCAGCTGGGAGGGGGGGGTCAGCAGCGGCTGGCTGC